TTAATATTTCATCAATTTCCTGATTATTGATTGGCAATTGATCTGTTATAACATCTTGAGTTTCAGATGCACTATTAAGAGAATTTTTCATATATCGTGCTTGTGACGGTCAAGATGCTATACGAGTCTTAAAAATGCTTAAAAAATTACCTGATTTAATACTTAGTGGCAAGTAGTTAATATTTTGACATATTTTAGTAATAATAATTAAATAATTATAAAATTTAAATTTATTAGATATCATAATGCCAAACATGAATGGATATGAGTTATTAAATATATTAAGATCTGATGTAAAAACTCAACTCATTCCTGTAATATTACTATCTGCAAAAGCTTCTGAAGATTCTAAAATCGAAGGTAAATTTAAATCATTAAATTATTAATAAATTTTTACTTATTTGATTTTTTATTTTTAATATAATTTTATTTAGGCCTAGATAAAGGAGCAGATGATTATTTAACGAAACCATTTTCTGCTCGAGAACTAATTACTCGTATTCGCACTAATATTGAACTTTCACATCTTCGTCGTAAAATATTATTTAATCAATATAAGCAAGAAGATATAAAGCAATTATTTCTTTCAATAACGAACAAGTTTCTTCATGAATGTGATCTAAATAAAACATTACAATATATTGCTAAAGAAATTTACCGTAGATTATCCTGTGAAAAAATATTTATTATTTCAAAGGAACAATCTAATAATAAAATAGTAGTTCCATGTGAAGAAGATTCAAAATATTTAATACCAATAATTAATCCATTCTCTCAAATAGGCGATAACGACCAAAGTAATTCACAAACATTCAACAAGTTACGAGGATTTTTAAATAAAAATTCAGGAATTGACATTTCTTTAGATGTATATTGTGATGATGTTGGTAAAAATGTATCTACTTTATCTGTAGAAATAATATCGAATGATGGTTTTTGGGGATGGATAAAATTATATAGATCTCAAAATTCTATTTGGCTCGATTCGGAAATAGAATTATTGCAACAAATTTCGAATCATATAAGTTTAACAATTACTTATGCATGCTTATTAAAAGAGAATGCAAAAAAAGCAATTCAAATAGAAGCTGCTGAAATTGCAAATAAGACAAAGAATCAAATTTTAGCAAATACTTCTCATGGTATTTTTTTTTTTTTTTTGTTATTTCTTATGATATTATCTAAAATTTATATTGTCAATCAATTTAATTTTATATATTAGAATTACGGACACCACTAAATGCGATAATTGGCATTACTTCAACTTTCGAAAATGCTAACTTAAATACTGATCAAAGGGACATGGTTAATATAATAGCAAGTGGTGCTGATATCGTATTATCAATAGTAAATGACATTCTTAATGTCGCAAAATTAGAGGCGAAAAAAATTTTTCTAATAAATAGAACATTTGATTTATTAGATTTACTTGAGGACACAATTGATACATATGGAAAAAAGGCTGGAACAAAAAATATTGAACTAATTGTAAATTGTGAGGTAGAAACGTTGCCAAGATATGTTAAGAGTGATCCTGAGAGGTGATTATTTTTATATATTAAATGTACAGAAAACCAAGAATATTACTTACCTTACCTCTTTATTAAATAGGTTAAAACAAGTTATATCTCATTTATTATCAAATGCGTAAATAATTTTAAATTTTTTTTTTTATTTTGTTGGTAGTTATTCATGCCTATCGCCATAATAATTCATTCTCAATCATTTAGAGTTAAATTTACTGATGAAGGTGAAATCGTACTGATAATTTCGATGCAATCACGAGAATTAATTGATGAAAACAAAGAGAATCCGACTTATGGCCAAATTGTTGGAAGAGACAATCTACTGATCGAATTATGTGATACTGGCATTGGGTAAGCAATTTATAATTACATCCTTTAAATTTACACTTACTATCATCGTTAATACATTTAATAATAATAGCATAGATTCCAAAGATATACAAGATATTTGGAAAAGCTTTTCACAAGTTGACATGTCAATAACTAAAAAGCAGGACGGCACTGGACTTGGTCTCTCAATTTGTAAAAGTTTAGTAGAAATTAATGGAGGTGAAATTAATGTAAAAAGTGAGTTGGGAAAAGGCAGTAAATTTTCGTTTACATGGAATATCGAACGAATATCGATGACAAATTTACCAATAGGGACTCAATTTAATAGACAAATAAACTATGTATTGCCTAGTGCTTTAAGAAAAAAACGAATACTAATAATTTACCCAGTAGAAGGTGTGAGAAACTCAATATTAAAATATCTTAATAGGGTTGAAAGAGTTGATACATTCGATACCTTTGAAAAAGGTATTAGAGCAGCAAAAGCATATAAAGAATTATATGATCAATTTGCTTATGATATAGCTTTCATCGGCCTTTATGAAAATAACAAGGAAAAAGTTATAAATTCAGTGTTAGAGTTAAAGCAATTGGAAGTTAATAGTAATAGTTTAGTAATAATATTTATAGCATTTCCAAGTGATAAAGGAATTAAGTTAGTAAATGAAATAATTGGAAAAGTTGTAGGAATAATTTCCGTTATTTATACTCCAATTACATGGAACAAGTTAATTATTCAACTTATGAATATCGAAAAAAACAATACTAGTAACAAAAATAATAAGAGTAATATTTTATGAACAACTGATTATATGTCTTTTTTTATGAAAGTAAATTGTTTTTATATCTAGTTATAAGTTATAGCGATTTTTTCAAAATTTTGAAGTTATTTTTGAAATGATTAATAATTTATACAATCTAAATTTAGAAAATTTTAATAAGTAGATTTTTTAAAAATTAAACTTGAATTAATAAGAGTAATTGCAAAAAAAAAAAAATAATTAGTTTAATTGTTCATATAATTATTTGTTCTTGTAAAAGAAATAAAAGGGTTAACAAATCTCAATTTCAGTAGTTTTTTTTGATATACGATTGGCAATTAAAATTCGGATCAATACGTATACGTAACGTTGTTAAACCTATATGACTGCGGAAGTACATGTCCCACGTGAGCTTAAAGGTATACTGTTTCCCTAGTAATAAATTAAAGAATGATTAGTTAGTTTTAAGTATTATTTAGTCCATCACTTCCTTTCGACCTGTATATAAGACCTGTAATTAGACTTCCTTACAACAGACTTCGACATATCTCTTTCAGTAGTGTAGGATTCGATTTCTCATTGTCTTGTTTATTGTATATTCATTATATTGAATAAAATATTGGTTCGTGTCTTCATATACGATTAAAATCCAATAAACCAACCTGAGTTTTGAAGTTATCGTGACTTGACGATTTTGAATCATGTGACTATCGTGAACTAATTCACGATTGATATCGATACTTATCTAAATCACCTAACTTAAATATAGAACGACCTCTTGTATCCGCATATACAACTGTGTTGTTGCCTCTTTTGACCAAGCCTTATTATTTAAATCCTCTTTGTTAAATCATTTAACTAACATTGTATTTCATAAGTAAGTATATTAAGAATAGTTCTCATACTATTCCTTAACACATCTCTTGGACTGTGAGATTAAGAATTCTTGATAAGCACCAAAGAAATTGTAAATATATATTCAAGAGATTCAAATTTATAGAAAACAACTAAAATATTGAATCAGAAATTTGATAATAAAGTGAAATTAGTAAGTTCTTTATAAGTCAAAGTGTAAGCTTAAGAAACAATTATTGCATGACTGCATACAATACATTTGCTTATAAGAATTAACTACATGATTATCAATGCATATTACAATTTGATATTTCTCAGACTAAGAGATTATTAATACAAACTCTTCCAAATTATTCATATATTATTTGTTTCTTAGTATTAGGATAAATGTAGTTACCTGTCTTACTAAAACTCTTTGAAGCAACACTAAACCTATAAATTTTCTCTTCACTCCCAAAACTTCAGCTATTACCTGATGCTTCTGTGG